GTGTGTGTGTGTGTGTGTGTGTGTGTGTTTGTGTGTGTGTGTTAGTACCTGTTTTGCTTGTGAGGACTCGCCTCCCGTGCCGATAAGAGGAAGCAGCTCTTATGACAGACTGTCCCTATCACTGACAGCAGTGGTCTTTCCACTGTGCCCCTGTTTTCCTGATAAGAGACCTGACACTGGGGTGTGTCAGTCAACTTTGTCACATCTTGTTCTTTTTTTTTCTCTCCACAATATGAGCTTTAAAGTGAGTTTATTGTGTTTCTGTTCTGGGTGATATGAAATCTGTCTTTGACCCTGGAGGTGTTGGTTGCAGCCGGCTCTCTGTACGTTTCTGCTACAGTTTGTGCTGCCGGTGCTCTGAGCGACTCAGATTTTCAGAATGGTCGTAGCAGGAGAACAGATGAGCTGCTGAGTGACGTTTGAGCAGCTCTGGTATGTTCAGACTAAGCAGAGAGAGAGCTGCAGAGTGAAACTCAGTGTTCCTCTCTTCAAATGACAGGTCAGTGCTGTTAAACTGACTGAAGATGACAGAAATAAAACACCAGCAGCTACCTTCAGAACAAGAATGCTTCTTGGTTGAATTCTTGAAAACAAGGACTTCATCCATGACTGTTTTGCAGGATGTTATGAATCTTCTGCGCCATCGTCCTTTGATGCATTATCAATGACTAAACTACATTCCTTTTACATGTTTAGCATAAGGTGAGGTTAAAACTCAGAAATGTTTACATTGCCCTAAACAGCATTTTCTAAGCCTTTTTAAGCAGACTGTAATACCATAGTTTAATCTGAAGAATGTCTAATGGCGTTTAAATAAATGTATGCAGCCCTACTTCCTTCAGCACTTCCTATGATGGATGGAAAGGGTTTGGGGTACAGATATGGCCCGAGGTACACCAGTTGAGACGAGGCCTACGATAAGATTGCTCCTCCTACACGGTCACATGACCTTCGTTAAAGAAAACAAAACAGACAGCTGTAATGGTGGACTTGAACATGACYACATTAACCAATGTCAAACTGCTTTTTTAGAAGTTGTTTCACAAAAAACATCACCAAATAAGCGGACAGCCTTGATGATGGAAATTTGGACAAGGTTGTCAGAGAAAACAGCGACAGTTTCTGCAGGTAAGGGGCGTCTCACCTGCTGTTCAATATCTGATGGTACATTCACACCAAACGCGTTTTGAGCATCAGGAGCATCTGGTTTACATGTYAAGTCAATGGTGGACACGCATCTAGGGGCGTCTAGAAGCRGAGCGGCGCYTCTGGCGTATTTGGAGCAGCACGGCTCAAAGCAGGGCACGCGCGGCACGTCCCAAGCGTCCGCTGCGTGAGTTGGAAAATCGGAACTTTTGCTGCTCGATGCGTTGCATCAACCAATCCGAGAGACTCATTTTTCCACGTGACAGTTTTCTYGATGTTGCCCACTAAACCGAAACAGATGAACAGGAGATCTTTACCTGAAATCGACCGTCTGCAGTTGGATCTTCTGGCTGGATACATAAGTGCCGATGTGGGTCAGCTGGTCCAGACAAAAAAAAAAGGTCCGTTAGCTGACAGCTTCTGGAGCGGCGAAACTAACCGAACAAACTGCCTAAATCATCTGGTGAGTTAATTATCTGCTGTGCGCAATTTTCGCTTGCTCTTTAGTAATTAAATCAAAGCAATTTGCTTTTATTTTATCTTTTATTTCACCTGCCGAGGGCAGATGCTCCTCCCACACCCCGATGCCGCCGCTGCTGCTGCTTCTCYTTCTGGTCTGTGAATGCGTCTGTCCAGCWTCAAGATGCSTGCGTTTTGAGATTTTTGGAGGCGCGCAACGCMTTTGGTGTGAACGTAGCKTGAAGCAGATTYGCCAGTTGCTGACAAGCCTACTGATTTGATTGACAGGTGGCGGCATGTCAATAGATGACCATTGGAAGATTACCAATTTTTAAGGGGGGTTTTGCAGAAAAAAGTGAAAACTACTGTACTAAACATTTAAAGTAGGGATGCCATTAAGCCATTTAATGCCGATATATCGMCATTAAATATAGGTATCAGCCGATATTGGTCATTTTTTAGAATATTGGTATCGACCAAATATGTAAAACTGGGCCGATATTAGGGCTGGGCGATAAATCGATTTAAATGATTAATTCAAATTTGCCATTTATAAAGATTTAATTTGGGGAAAATCAAGCTTTTTTTTCCCACCAGTGCACTCTTTGGGGTTTCAGTAGTTTTTAGGTCAGCCCACCTGTCCCTCAAGACGCTTGGTACACAACATGACAATATGGCAGCTAGCAAAGAGGAACTATTTCTCAAAAACGGCACTGTTTCTTCAGTTTTCTGGAACTGGTTAGGTTTTGCAACCTCAGACTTGTCAGGATTTGTTGTGTGGAACCTAAAACGCAGGCAGACACGAGGACTTGAATGCWAACAAAACTGATTTAATAAATGACAAAAGAAAAAGGCTGACYTGGCAGCAAAAATACAAAAGARAACATGGACYGAGACGAGGSATGAAAGGCAGTGATCCAATGGGGAAATGAAGACAAGACACCGGTTAAACACTACAGAGGATGATTGGGGAGTGGAAGCACCTGAGTGATTACTGACTATGGACAGGTGAGTGTGGCAGGCTGGAAAAACACTAAGAAGCTGACTGAGGGTTACATGGCACAGGAAACTGAACAGGAAATACGAAAAAAATATTACAAAACAAGGAAAAACAGTCTGAAAACTACTAACAAAAATAACCATAACACAAGAATCATGACAGGACTTGGAGCAACAAACACCTCACTGCAAAATCTGTTTGAAGGCTCTTAATACAAAAAGCAGGAGTACAAAAAACTGTTTCAACACCTGAAACAGAGGCACTCCGTTAAGTGGGAAACAAAATAGTTTAAAATCAAAAATCGAATTTGGAATGATCGGAGATTTATTTTTTGGGCCATATCGCCCAGTCCTAGCCCATATTAATGTACAATATTGATTTCCCACTTTTTATCTTTGTGTTTCTGTTTTGGGAGAGGAGGTGGTTGGTTGAGCAGCATCTGTTTGATCATAGTGAAATTGAGGCTGCGTAGCCAGGAATAACTGAAGTAGGGAGCCATGGTCTGGTCTGGTCGTTTATTTACGGTATCAAAAAAAATAAATAAGTGTTTGTGCGTATATAATATAATTTGTGTGTTTGTGTAATATTGGTAAATATTGGTTATCGGCAGTAACAGCAATAAGTATATCAGATACCGATATCTGCTGAAATATTCATATCGGTGCATCCCTAATTTKAAGGGGAAATATCATGTAAAAMCACCTTTTATTAGTTTTATATCATGTTATAATGTTATCCTCTCATCAAGAACATGCCCAGAGTCTTGCTTTGACTCATTCATGCATGWTTGAGAAATCCTYTAGTGTCCTGAGGCAGCCAGGAAATTTGKRCGGAGTTCCTTGAGGCTCTGGATGTTGTGGGATTGTGTTGGTTGGTACAACTCTACAATATTGCGTTGGACATCAGTGGCAGTTCCCCCTATTTAAAAAGGAGGATCACAGAGTGTGTTCCAACTATAGGGGGACCACAACTCCACACYGAAAGGCCATATTCCAGGCCTGAAGTCAAACCTGCAACTTTATTGCTGAAYGACTCTTATCTTCTGCAAAGACTCATTTCTTTCTCTCTTGTGTGAGAGTGTTTCAGACCAAAGTGTAATAAGCGATCACAATCTCCTAATTTTTAGCATCTTTGTGGCTAGCAGTAGCAGCACTGCAAGGTAACCGTTTAATGTAGTGAAGAATGACAAAGCAACTCCGTCTGAAACTTAATAATCATTATTTTAACAGGTAATCTCACTTTTTGTTCAATAGAAACATGACATTTCAGCCATGATAATTAAGACATTTTAACTGRCACAGATGACTGAGTGCCCAAAATACATTTTAATATTTCATAATATCCCTGCTTGTTCATTTTCTCCTCAGTGACTCCTTGTAAATTACTTGTATATCCTTTTTTTCTGTGTCCCTCTCAGCTGATATTTCTCCACTCACTCCTCACGCCAGTGCTGTGACTCTGCTCATATTACGTAGAAAACACATTTTAACAAGAGATTCAGATGAGAACTGAGCAGAGCATGTGTAAACATTGTGAGTTTTTCATATTACTGTAATCCAACCTGCTCTTTGCTTTTGAACTGTTTCCAGAAAAGGAATGTGTGTTATTCTAGTTTAACCCATCCTACTTGTTTGTCTGTCTGTCATCTCTGCTTCAGTCATCATCTACATGTTGGCTGCAGAGCTGCGGTATGTTCTGACAAGCGAGAGCTCGTCACTCCATCAGCCACTGGTTTTAATGGACTCTGAGTGGAGCCGCACTCTGAGCTTATTCTTTATTGGTTGATTTGTTCTAGTAATGGTTATTTTCATGTTAAGGTTAGATCCAGCTTGTATGGTTCATTAAACCCCTCACCCCCGCTTTTATATATATTTTTAAATCTGACCTCGTTAAATTGCTTTTAATTTCAACCAACCTAACATTTCAGTTATGTTGGAAAGGTGGTGCTGCAGATCAAGTACACACCACACAGCGATTTGTGATTACCTCTTGCTACATATGTGATGCAGAGAAATAAAAAAGTTGTAATTCACCAATTTAATTTGAAGATGGGTGGCATCATCTGTGTAAGATCAGATAATCTAAATCAGAGCTTTGTCTAARTTGTGAAATTTCCTGTTTACCACTTTTAGCATCTTTTGATCGAGTTGATATATTTATAAAGTCTGTTTGAAGTTGGTTAAAGACCGAATAGCAAATACTTTCTCGACATTATTTATTACAGRAAATTTTTGCATTTGTTATTTAAATATTATTTAGTGTTATTTTTATTGATTTTGACACTTCTGACTTGGCTTGAAGTTTAGCTGCCAAAGATACTACATGCTTCCACAAACAGTGCCTGACACATGACACACTGCTTTTAAGAGGGGAAAGTTTTTATTTAATTTGGGATAAATGACATAAACATAGAAGTTCTACACACGTGAATTTATTTTAGTGGACACAAAATTAGTGGACCTACAGTGGGGTGTGAAAATTTGGGCAGCCTTGTTAATTTTCCTGATTTATTTTTATAAATCGTTGATTGTTTGGATAAAAAATTCAGTTAAATACATCATATAGGGGACAAACAGCGATATTTGAGAAGTGAAATGAAGTTTATATGATTTACAGAAACTGTGCAATAACTGGTTAAACAAAATTAGGCAGGTGCATAAATTTGGGCACCGTGTTCATTTTATTGATTTCAAAACCTTTAGAACTAATTATTGGAACTCAAATTTGGTTTGGTAAGTTCAGTGACCCTTGACCTCCAAACACAGGTGACTCCAATTATGAGAAAGGGTATTTAAGGGGGGCAATTGTCAGTTTTTCTCCTCTCTGTGTTTTCTCTGAAGAGCGGCAGCATGGGAGTCTCAAAACAACTTTCATATGAGCTGAAAACAAAGATTGTTCACCGTCATGCTTTAGGGGAAGGATACAGAAA